TTCTGTTTTGTTTTATGAAATTTGGAAAACCAAGAAAAAAAATCGTGTTTAGTTGGGTTTTTATTTTCTGTTGTGAATCAGAGTTGCACAACAGGGCCCAAATATGAGAAACAACAATTTATTGCTTTGGATCTGATTCTTAAACATGTTGCACACGAGATTCCTACTGGTTGGACACTTGATTTCATTAAACCAGACCAGTTTTTGAATCCCCACAGAAGCAAAAAAAAAATTATTTTTTTAACACAGCCCCCCAACCCTACTTCAACTTATCAGCCCCCCCCCCCCCAACCCTTCTCCCCCAAACTCTTCTCAACAGAGGTCGGCCGCCACCCTTCTCAACAGAGGCGACACCTCCACCGCGCCGCCCTCCGCCTCCGCGCCGACCCAGCCCGTCGCGCCGCCCTCCGCCGCGCCGCCGACCCAGCCCTCCGCGCCGACCCAGCCCGCCGAGCAGCACGAAACCTCCGCCGCGTAGCCCGCCGACCCGCCGCGGACGTCCGCCCGTGCGCCTCGCCGCCGTCGCCAGTCCCCCCTGCCACCGCCGACCACTTCCCCTCCACAAAAGCCTCACTTCATCTCCCCCACAGCAGGTAACTTCAACTTCTTCAAAGTATTATGTTAATCTATACTTTCTGAATATGTTGATGAATTTGGCATGTATGTAGTGATTGCTAGATTAGTTATTTATGAATTTGGATTGATTGCTATGTTCTTTGTTTTGTGGTTTACCTCAGTTATGGAGAAAATTGTTGAAAATGGTGATGAAAATGGTTCTTTGTTTTGTGGCATGTACGGTAGTAACTAAACGCGTTTTTGTTTCTTGTTGTCAGCTTTCATGATTTTTCAGATTTATCAACTAAACAGGTTTGTGTTTTCTGTTTTTTTCCTGTTGTGGTTGTACATCTGTTTACACAACACCACTGCAACCACAACAACAACAAAATGATACTAAACGGGCCCTTTAGTAAATGTATCAAGAGTTTTAGGATCATATTCTAGGATATTTTAGGATCATATTCTTTGAATCGTATTTATAAAATGACCGTGTTTTGTTGCCTTCATGATATAATAGGTTTGTTTATGGTTATAATTAAAACTTTTCTTGTAAGTTTTAGGTACAATAATGTTGGATGTACGGGGATGGGCATTACCCATGGGTACCCGAAATCCACGGGTATGGGGATGGGTTTGCAAAACATTCCCTCGCATGGGTATGGGGCGGGTATGGGTTTGAGTATTTGAAGATGGGGATGGGGATGGTTTAGGCAAACCCGCCCCATTGCCATCCCTAATTGAGAGGGTTTTGTAGTGCAACCTCCATATAGTAATTGTTTGATGTTTGATTTGATTTGATGATTGATAAAATGTTTTATTATATATAAACGTAAAGTTCAGTTACTGTTGCATAATAATTGCATTTTGATACCTCAAATTTAATTAAATCACAACTCAATCATTATAATGTATATTTTATATTTTGATACCCCAAATTTAATTTTAATGTAAAATCATTGAACAATTATGTTTTGGTATCTAAATAATATGAGATTTTCGTACCTACAATTTTTTAAATTTATATATTGGTCCAATGTTTAGATTACACTTGAATCCAATCCATCAATCCTTTTGAATCAATCCACCATAACATATTTAGTTTGTACAATACAAGATGTTGTCCTTTTTGAATCAATCCACCATAACATATTTAGTTTGTACTTTGTACAATACAAGATGTTGCATCACTCAACTGTAGGAGAAGATTCGACCATTTTATACTTGCTCATTACGTGAAACATTAAATAAATGATAAAAAAGAGACGACTCTAAAATATTGCTAGAGCGAATTTATAAACTCATTTAGTACATTTACGGGGTACTAAATAAACTTCTACTAACTGCATGTAACAATATGCGACATCTATAAGCAAGTGTCAATAAATCGCTACGGTGAAAAGGGTTGACTGTTGTATTGACGGCCAACTAAAAGAATTGGTCAAAACATTTCCATCATCTACTTCCTTTTCATTTCATTTTTCACTTGCCTTCCATAACCCTTTCTTTATTTATTTCTTTGCCTTCTTCGTCTAACCCTAATTAGTATACTATTTTTATGTATTTTAATCACAAGTATGAACGAGTTCATACACGACTCACCAACAGTCTAGAGAATTAATAATTGAACAATGAACCAATAACTTTTTTAGCTCAATGTCGAGTCCAATTAAAAATAAATACACATGGTTATTACTTATTTGAAAGCCGTCATTTTCCACTATGGGATTTGAAGGCGTGAAATTTTAAGCGAGTTCCTGTTTGTATTCATTTTGCTTCTCTCTATATTTTTTCTTTTTCACCCGGCTAGAATTTTCAACAATTATATATACATGGAATGTTTGGCTAGGTATCTACACATATCAAATAAATAGTTTACATTTTTCTATAAAAGGGTAAATAATTATCATCTTAAATACATCACCATAAATGAAATTAAGCCTCAAAATTACAGTTCGATACCTAAACTTAATAGATCTTTAGATTTATAATCTAATTTTTTTGACATATAAGTCCTCAAAATATTGATGGAACATTATATTTTAGTACCTCATATTTTTGTGTATTACATTTTGGTTCCTAAACTTTTGAAGTTCTACAAATATATATAATTTTTGTATGTGTACAAATGGTTGTCCATACCCAACTCATACACATTTAGATTATGGATGTAAATATCCATACCCTACCCAAACCCATCTACAAACTTTCAAACTCATATGTACTTTACCCATGCTCTACCCATAATCAATGGGTCTACTTGGGTTTTATTAAATATCATTTACTAGCCAAAATTTTCAAAAACTTTAAATTGGATGTTGAAAGCCATATATTTATTTTCAGTCAATCCCATATTGTCAAGTCAATATTATTAACAAAACTGCTAACGAAAAATTAATTTTAGGCTAATAATTTTAACAAAACACCATAACGAGTCACATAATACATGTCCATAGGCCATCTCTGCCCGCGATAAGGCGCGGTATCGCCACCTAGTAAGCATTAGATAGAAATGAAATAAAATAGATTAAGAACCAAAATGAAATGTAACGATAATATATAAGAACTATATTCCAGCTCATTCAACTCACAAGGCATATAAACTAGGGTACGATTAGGTCCCACTCGGTTAAACCGAAATGGATTAACCTAGTTTTTGGTTTTCGTAAAAAATAGGAATGAAAAGCTGGGTTGTTTCTTAAATAATTTCAATAAAACCGGACCAAATAGTTTTGGTTTGGTCATGCTTTAATCCAAAAATAGAAATGACTTAATTCTTTCTAAAATATCGTTGTTTAACTCTAAATAAATTAAAACCACTAGAAAAATGTCGATCCACAATCCCTAATTCATCCTCCCCGATTCTTCCATTATCCATGGTGTTGCCACCCTATCCACCATTATCTCTCCCTTTGTTCCTCCTTCCTCCAACCCATCCCCTAACCCACATTACTTCCGACCACCACCACGCATATCGTGAACAGATAGGCGAACACAAACATAGACGCGGACAGAGGTCAGAGAGAGGAAGGATGAAGGGAGGGTGAAAGAAAGAAAGAAAGAATGAAGAGAGATTGATTGTCCTTCTCCACCGTCATGGTGGTTGGCACTTCATGGTCGAGTTTGGGTGGGAGGATGAAGGTGTCTACATGTCTGCGTTGATGACTACCCTTGATGGTTAAGGTGAGAGGATGAGAGTCGTATACAGAGATGTATGCAGATAGATTGAGTAAGAGTCATCTTAATCGAGAACGAAATTAGCATTAGAGAATCATTTTGTTGGAAATCAGGTTCCTCAAAGGCAATTTTTGAATCGAGGATATGAGGAATCAAAGGAGGAAGAAAGTGGGGTAGAAGGATTGATGTGGTATAGAGGTCAACAAGTGAGACTGTGACGGCCTGTTTGGATAGAATTCCAAATGAATTGGAAATAGAATTTTATTTCCATTTCTAGTATTTTTAGAATTCCAATTTCGATTCTTATGTTTGGTATAATTCCATCAATTCAGGAAATGAATTATATTTTTTTGTGCGAATTTTATTTTTCAAGTAAAAGTTATGAGTAGTGGGGCCAATTCTTGTGAAAAATGATACCGAGATTGGCTTGAGGAGAAAACAAACCCAATTGCATGCAGGCTTTTTGGGAATTTAATATCATTAAAGTAGTGGGTCCCATCAATTCCATTGCTTCTATGGACAAGACCGACCAATTTCGGCCGGATTTCAATTTCCTAAGTTTTGGTGAAAATGATTTTCATTTCCAACACAATTTACTATCCAAACGGAAGAATTGATTCAAAAAAAGAAAATAGAATTCAATTTCCCATAAATTTAATCATTCCAAACAGGCCGTGAGAGATGGAGAGATGAAATGGAGAGGAGTCTCCTCGATTGCCAATTTTTTAGTGGGTAGGGTTGTGGGTTTGAGTAGGGTTGGGCTTGCGGTTGCGCCTAGGTTTGTGATATGATTTTCGGGTAAAATCGGAGTAAATCAAGACAATTTTTTTAGTTTCTTCGTACCCGAAATTTAAAAATAAATCATTGTGTAAATGTTTTTTACTTTAATCAAGGCAGTTTTAACCTAAAAGTCTAATCTTACCCCTAATTTAAACCCTTTGGGCAAACAGGTTGAAACAAACTGAATAATTGATTATACCACTATCCCTAGCTATACAACCCCATTATTATAACTCTAAATTAACCCCTTCACAGAAATGAAAACCCCTCATCTCGCCTCTTCTCGAATGAATATTAGCCACCAGTTGTTTATTTCTCTGCCGTCCCCAAGCTCTCGCCGGGGGAAAAAAAATAAACCAACGAACCCAAAAAACCAATCGTACACGAAACAGTACTAATAATAATATCGTTGTAATTGGTAGCCCAAATTAAAACTCACAATTTCCAAAGAACAAAAAACTAAAATAGAAAACAACGAGTCTTTTCAGTTAGGGAGCAACGATCTGGAAGCCGTCGATCTGAAACCGAAGCTCCTTCTTCTCAAACGCGGCGGCGGCGCGTGAGTAAGGCGCCGCGGTGGCGGCCTGCGCTCGCCCCTTCCGCTTCTGCAGGAACCTCTGCAACGACCTCTTCATCGACAACCCCACCGCCGGAGGCGGGGTCGGGGTTTCCGACATCGCCGGTGAAGCCGGCCGCCGCCGCCGCTGCTCGTCCCCGGGACTCGTCGCCGATTTGTCATCCGCCGCCTCCTGACTGCCGCCGGCCAGCATTATAATCGCCCTGGCCTGCATCTCCGTCACGTCGCAGACGCTGTACCTCCCGTTGTAGAAAATCGTCAGCGGCTGCGGCTGCGGCTCTTCCCGCCGGCAGTGGTCGTCGTCGCCGGAAGTCGCCGGCGAGTGGAGGCTGAGCTCCAGGTTGCAGCTGGGTCTTCCCATTTCCATTAATCGAATATAAGATTGAGTTAGAATTCGCCAAGATGAAAGAGAGATGAAGAGAAGAGAAGAGAAGAGAAGTTGGTTTGGAGGGATTTTGAAAGCCGGGGGATTTGAATGGATATATATAAAGATTAAAGGGAGGAGTCGCAAGTTGCAACTTGCTTTTGCCGCTTTTGACGAAACAGTCTTTTTGGCTAATTTAATTTGTGTGTTATTTGTTTTAATTGGTAATTAGGAGACACGCGCTGCCTATTCGGTCACCGCCACCAGCCCACCACCAAATAGTGTCGAGATTCCACTTGAAAAATAAGGAAAAAAAGGGCACGTGAAAAATTAGAAAAATCTTGCGGTGCGGTGATTGCTGGGGGGAAAATGGTGCGGTCTTTTCCTTCCTCTGCTGTTCTGTTTCGTTTTCTTTTCGTCGCCTAATCAGCACGTTTTTCCTGTTTGTTTCTGTTTTTTCCAACACGTGATTTTTGCTTCTCTCTCTTTTGGGTTTAGGTAGTTTTGGAACCAGTCGAGTCGGCATAAATTGAAGTAGTATTAAACATCGTGTTTTCAATTTTTAATTAATCTCCTCGTAGTAGTAGGTCTTTATCAATTCAAAACCAACCCTTACCCCCTAATTTCTCGCTATTTGCCCATTGTTTTGGTGTCATTAATTGTCACTGTGTGCTTTACGTGTCCTCTGGATATCCAATTGGTAGATGACAGCTATGTAGAATTTTGAGATACAAACGCGTTAAATTTTGATGTAGAGTATTATTACATGGATTGGAGATGGGGGAACCAAATGAGCATCGGCCTCTGCCACAGTTCATTTCATTAGAATAATAATGGAACTTAATAATTTAATGTCTTCAAGTTTGTTTGCACTTTAGCCAAGTAGGGCAGACATATTTTGGATCGATTATTCGAACCTCATAAGCTAGTTGTTGTGATTAGAGTGAGCTGTTTTCTAATAAGGCCACGCTTTCAACATTTGAACTCATACAAATTTATTTTATAAGTTTTCATCGAGTGATTATCACTTTCTATAATCGAATCGAATAAAGATAAATTATCTGGTATAGAATTTTTAGTTGGTTCATCAATCATGATAAACATTATCTGACTTTTTCACCTTTATGGATGTAGTTAACTGGTGAACGAGTTGTGTCTGAATAGTTGTAAATCTTTCGTTTCTCTTGTACTTTTCTATATATTGTTCATTTAATCTCCTTCGACCTCTTGTACTTCTCTATATATTGTTCATTTAATCACCTTCGACCGTAATCTTTATGGGTTGTTGATTGTGGTCGGTTCTAACAACAAAGTTAGAATAATTTCATGTTACTCTATCAATTGACAATATGGAAAATTAACTGAAACTAATGTCTCTCAGTTGTTGAAACAATATAAACTATGGTAAAGGGAATATAAACCGTAGGTGTTTGGGTGGTCTAGCTATCAACATTTTGTGGCATGAACAATGTTGAAAGGATTATAAACACGGGAAATTTGAGGAGGGTTATGAGCTAGAATTGTTGTCTTCTACCAAAAATTTTCCTGCTCTACTAATTTGCGTAAGTTTTTCTTTATAATTTAAAAAATGTGATATATCACCAATAAGCTGGAATAGCTCAGTTGGCTAGAGCGTGTGGCTGTTAACCACAAGGTCGGAGGTTCAAGCCCTCCTTCTAGCGAAAATTGTTTTCTACTTTTTTTACCCCCTTCTTCCTTGCTTACGAATGAAACTGATTCACTACTAAAATGCAATGCATTCCAAAGGTGTGAAATGATACTTAACTTTTTGCTTATAGATAAACAGAACGGATTCCTTGGTGAAACCAGCACTCCACAAGGTGTGAAAAGCTGCTGCAAAGTGCAAAGGTACTGCTGCTATTGCAGAAACCTGTCCCAGGAGGAACACAATAAAGAAGGACATAAAAAAACCATAAAGCCAACTTTCAACAAAGGGCAATCGGAATGGGGCAGAGCGAGCAGCCCGCAGACACCTTCCAAGAAACTGCACACGACATTACTCAGCAGATGCAATGGGCAGTAGCAGAACGTGATGCGCTGCACAAAATGTACTTAAAGAAAGGAAAACCAGCAGCTGAACTCTGAAATTTAAGCCTGCAGATAAACAGTGGAACTACTTGCTGACTTGTAGCCCACTGGATCGACCCTTCTGTTATTTGGACTAGATTTGTTGATTAATTGTACTTGTCACGTGATTTAATAAAAGATAGAAACTAAAGTCAAAATAGTTCATCTTCTAATATTCGGAGAGTCCCACAGGAAAACCTAAAAAAAAAATCCCCACAGAAAAAGGTCAAGCATTTACATATATAAATATGTCGATTGGAGGACCCTTCCCACACCACAAGACGGCGTTGTTGACAGAAAGAAGTTCATTCTCTTCTCTCAAAGAAAACGTTTTGCCCAAGAAAGTGGAAAAGGTGGAAACTTGATCTCCAAATGGAAACATGATCTCTGTTCCTTTATCTGCTGAGATCGCCTCATCTCAGGCCGCAAAGCAATTCCGCCCTCCGAATACCAGAGGCAACCTATCAAGTATCACCTATCTATAAGTCCAAATAGACAGTCGGGGAACAGTAGTCTTTATAGAGATGACAATGGGGCGGGTTTGCCAAATCATTTCCCTCCCCGTATTCAAATAACTAAATTCATACTTGTCCCATATCCATGCGGGAGAATGTTTTGCAAACTCATCTTCATACCCTTGGGCATGGAGATGAGTTTGCAAGTGATAATTGACATAATTTTTACATGAATCGAATGCCCGGAATGACGATTATGAGGTGAGTGCATTGTATATCTATTAATACATGAGTACAATATTTTCCAAATTATTATGCTCTAACTCTCATAGATCTACTAAGCAATAATTAACTAACATAACCTTGTTGATAAGGGAGAAAGTCTCCTGATAAATCTCCACATCTTGGAGAGGGGATTTCCCACGTTGACTGGATCGGGAACGGTCGGATACCCGCAATCATGGGTTTGATTGCCATCCCTCGTAGTCATAAAGAAAGGGGAAAAAAAACTGGTCTTACTAAACAAGAAGAAAAGGATGGACATAGAAATTGGCTTCAACCTGGAGAATGATGCCTCTGAAAAAGAAAGGTTCTGGGCCAAAAGGCCGTTGTTACCAGTCAACGACTCAACGTGGTCATCCAATAAGGCTGTCCGGTAGAGCAATCAGCTAGCTCATGGGCCAATGCTACTTCATCATCCAGAAGGTCAGGGCCATTTTTCTGGCCAAAAGCCCAAAACTCACAGGTCACACGTCACAGCCCCTTGCCGCACAGAAATGCCCCCAAAGCTTATTCACCTTTGTATTCCTCATTTGGCAATAGGCTAAATTTCACTCTTGTTACAAAGAGATTAAGATAAACCTTTTTTCACAATTCAAACAATTGTTACAAGAACATATATGTATGCAAGTACAAGGAAAATGAAGCTGCTGGCTGCATTATGTACTTCCAAGTTTGTTGTTTGTGATTCCACCCAATCAAATTCAAGTCAACACCAAGGCCACTTGGCATCTCTCCACTTCAACCAACGACCAGTTGTGTCAGTAGCAGCAGCAGCAACCAGGCTCGCAGGAGGATCAATTCGTCGACTTTGGAAGCATCCAACTGCTGCACAACACTGCAGCTTCTGATTGCGTACTACAGCTTCCTCCCTGTAGTTGGGGTTACTGTACCTTGGATGCTGGACGAACTCCACATTCTTCCACCACAGCTGCAACGCCTACAAGCATGAACAAGAAAACAATGATTTTCTGTGTGAGCGATCAGGCATCCGTGGACTTTGGGGGATGTGTGTTATATCCATACTGAAGTGAAGTCTATTACCAGAACAGCCAAGTTCTATCATCCTGAGTTTGAAACTGAAGTGTACTTACGTGCCAATATATCCATACTGCAACTTTGTGCGGCATCAACCAAAAGAACATATCGCTATCTGACACTGGCGTTCTCTTGGCGTTCAGGGTAGCCACGAAATAATCACCATGCTCCGGGTGCTGAACTGAAATGGAAACCCACAAGCTGTCCCCTGGAACACTTGCTCTAATTTTCCAATTCCCCATCATATCCTGAAACAACAAATTTCCACAATAGCTTGTCTCTATAGACTTAAAGAACCTCTTCCAAAAGGTATACAGAATGAGATGGATGATTCTGTGTATAACTGAGAAATGAGAACTGGTAAAAAATACAGTAGCTACTGTCTTCTCTTCATGACAAAGATTAGTATATTGTTTGCTGGCGAATTTCACGGGAGAAAACACTACTTAGCTCAATGGGATCGATGAAGTCAATATATCCACAGATTTCTTGTCTAAAACCTTGAAAGCCTAACTTTTCCATTAGCTCGAACTACTTAGAATATGCATACAAATACAATCCAGCAATTCTGATTGCCAGGGGGTATCTTCTTCTATAAACAAATTGGTACTAGAAAGAAGATACAACTACCATAGAAAATAGTACATAAACAGAATCTGGAAACTGTCATTGAAAGACTAAGTTGATCACGAAGTAGGTAGAGGAGTGAGAGGGGCATACCATGAATGGGCTGACATGCAATGGTTTAGCAACTAGATCAGAGTTAGGATTGAAGACAAATGCAACTCTTTCACCCCACGGCGTATTGGTTACCTAAACCAAGAAACAAGACAATCACAATTCAGTTTGGTCACTAAAGGATTGACATAACATTTGAAACCCCAAAAGATGCAATCTTTCAGCATCAACTTTCCCTGAGCAATTGATAGAACAACAAGCATTAAAGGTAGCCATTAGCAACTGCACAGAATTGCAAACCTCGGCAATACACTTGGTCAAATTGGAAGCAGAGTCATCGACGTCTCCATCATAGCAATAGTACAAACTCAGTGGATTTTGTTCATACCCAACGCTGGGAGGAATTGTTAGCAGAAAACTGCACAGTTTTTAGAGAGGGGAAATCAGCAATTGAGATCCAACACAATGAAGGGTATTGTAAAGTTCGAAGCTTTTGAAAGGAAAGAGGGAAGGAAGGAGGAGTACACTGGTCCGGTGGTTTTTGCAACCCGGCGAGCCTCATCCGGCGAGAGGTGGTCCGGCGGCAGGTGAGGCGCGTAGTCGAGGTCGAAGAGCGCGTAACGGATGGAATAGCGAAATGAGTGGTGAGCAGGGAGGCGGCGCTCGTGCCATACGGTGCCCTGGTAGAAAGTCACACGCTCCGATTGAGGGAGGCGATTGAAGAAGACGCGGCGGAGGACGAGGAGGAGAGAGTGGAAGAGGGAAACGGAGAACGCGGAGAGGATTGAGAGGAGAAGGTAGAGCAGTTCCATTGTGTGGTCTGGAAATCGGATTGACTTCAGCACTGTAATGTTGTTGGCGGTTAAAGATAAGAATTTGCATTTGTTTTTTAGCCATATTGGTTGTTTGGTAGCTGCCGCTGGCGACAAGAGGATGCATAGAGCGGCCGTCGGACAAAGAGATTCCGGCGTTAAGTCCCTAAATTTATCTATTTAACTCATACTAGCTTATTACCCGGTACTTTGGCCGGAACTGTAATGTTGTTGGCGGTTAAAGATAAGAATTTGCATTTGTTTTTTAGCCATATTGGTTGTTTGGTAGCTGCCGCTGGCGACAAGAGGATGCATAGAGCGGCCGTCGGACAAAGAGATTCCGGCGTTAAGTCCCTAAATTTATCTATTTAACTCATACTAGCTTATTACCCGGTACTTTGGCCGGAACGTAGTCTCGAAAATTGACTCTTTGATTATATCTAATATCATCCGTTAACATGTATAGGTCAACAACAACATAATAATATGATGGAAAGTCATAATCCCATTGCATTAAAAAAAAACAGTAAAATATAAACACTATAATGAACAATCCAAACCAAGCCATTAGCCTTAAATATAGTCACTATTGCCATAATGCCATGCATCATGATTCCCCTAGAGTGAACATGAGGAAACCAAAAGAATGCTTACCTGGCTCCAATTATCGATTGTAAAAATGAAGTCACCAAGAGATTTCATAAGAAAACCTCAATCTGGATGCCTTTAGACCAAAACCCACAGCGGCACCAAAGACGATGAATCCCTGGAGGAGAAAATAAAAACCAGCAATATCCAAATCACGTAGATGGAATGCGTTGGCCAGTTTTTTCTGATAAATAATTTTGTTAATTAAAATGGCAGAAAGAAAAGAAATACAAAGCACGCAATCTGCTGTCGAAATCTCATATACAAAGAAAAGAAATAAGCAAGCTATAAATGCCTGGAAGCACCAAAAGATAATAACTTTTGTCAATATCCCTACCACTGTGAAATCCTACCAAATCACTCCTAACTTCTCTGCTATACTAAACACACAAATGACTTACAACTCTGTACTTTCTATTATTCAATCTGCATAAGTCAATCGTCATGAACCCTTCCCATTATCACGATTTTTATACTTCTCGACAGCAAACACATTGATTGGTCCACTCTTACTCCTTCTTGGTGGCAGCTACATGGCTTTTTGCTTCAGTGCCCATTAATTCAAACAATCATTCCTTGCTTCAATTTATGGCTTGGGGTAATATCACTTCAGTCATAATACAAATTTACATGAAATGAAAGAAATGATTATTATAATAGGCTTGTAAAATTTAGAGTACCAATGGCGATTCCTCTCTTTTCCTCGGTGACTTCGTCAATAAAATGAGATTGATGACCATCTCTACCAACGCATTCTATATGATCTTAGTATGACCTTTTGTATAAACCATTTATGCCTTACCCATTTTCACATCGTAACTCCAAGAGCTAACTTGCTAGGGCGCTCCTCTAGGTAAACAACTTGTATCAACATCAGGCATGAAAACAAAAATTGCTTTGTTTGAGATACTATAAGGATCTTGTGATGCTCTAAAGAAGGTTAAACCGTTTCTCAAGCATTGTCAACCCCCAATTAATTTGACGTGGGTTATTGCTCTCTTACCATCTAGATTAAAGAGGAGGCTCAGGTTAGCCTCTTTTATAGCTTAACTTGACAATTTCTTAGAGGAGATACAATCACGATTCACAATTCTAGAACAACCACATCAGATAATACAATCTTATGGAAACAACACTAATGAAGCACCCAAATTACAATTATGTACACGTTTCCTATGAGGCTGTGCATGTGCATATTAAGAAAAATATAAGGATTAAGGAGGGAGCTTACTCGGCACGCGGTTTTGATGAGTAAGAATCCCGTCAATAAATTTCAGGTGGAGATGTACAATCGATTGGATCTAGACATGTGTATATGACTCGCTGTTACTGTCACTCTAGAAAATGGCCAAGTGTAACCACTTCCTAAAGCGTAGTATAGCGGGTTTGGGTTTCAATGTCAACCCGGGTCCTAGATGTGATGACTACTCAGTGAATTCGTATTATCTAGCAGTGAAACTTTAGTGAAGGCCTAAACTAACAAGCAAGCAAAGCAACTAAAACGGTTGTATTCAGGTTAAGAGAGGTCACCCGGATATGGTTCCCCCTAGTCTGCAGTTAAGCCGGATTGTAATTGCCAAGTTCGATTTCTATGAAAGTTATACTGCGGAAGATTCTCAATCAGTCTGAAGTCTCGACTAAAGGTCTTCAGACCCTCTCAATCTGAGTCTCTAGCTGGCGACTAACCTACACCGGAGTAAACAGATTGAGGCCCTATGAACAAAACCTCCACTACCGAATGGAATTCGGTACAGAATAGTGAACTGGCTCCTCGACTAAAGTCACCAATTCACTACCTTCGATTAAGGATACTCTATCAACCTAGGCAGATATTATCATTCTAGGTTAAAGCAGAAACAACAGGAATTTGATCAGGATTCAAGTCATTCAATCATTCAAACCTCAATCGAATACAATCAAATCATAGAATCAACACTTGGGTTCATACAATCAAACCTAACATACAGAACTAGGGTTTCCCATACCCAGATGAATGGGGGAACTACTCCATGGAGAGAGAAGCAAAAGCAGAATCAGACGCGGAAATCATACTGTGAAGATGGATTTCTGCTCCTGGACGTTGAATCGGCACTTCTCCAAGCTCAAACCAAGCTCCAATGGTGTTGAAGATCGATCTAGGGCACTTGGAGGCTCTTGTTCGTCGCTTTCTCTCTCTAGGAACCGCTCTGTCTCTCAAAAACTCCAATCCCCTTCCGTTTGGCTTGGAATCCGCTTAAAAACCAGTTCTCCCCGAGTTGCACGGCCAGGTGCACGGCCGTGCACTACACCATTCTGGCCGTGCAGCTCTAAAACGCAGCGTATCCACTTAAGTCGACTCAGCCATCTTGCACGGCCAGGTGCACGGCCGTGCAAGTCTGGATTGTGCCCGTGCAAACTCTCGCACCAACCCGCACGGCCAGGTTTGTATGTTGCACGGCCATGCGGTACTCTGCTCTGCCCGTGCGTGGCCTCGGCATGAGGCGCACGGCCATATGGCTCAAGTACACGGCCGTGCGGCTCCATGGTCTGGCCGTGCAGCTCCCCAACAAGCTCGCCCTTCGTCCGTTCGTCGTCCAATCGACCACAGACTCGCTCCTAAGCCTTCATTCACGTACTAGGACCTGAAATAACACAAACAAGCACAACCTAGCGTGAAATCGGCCTAAAACACGAGAATCAACACCTCAAACGGAGTAAGAGCAGGGGTAAAAACATGTGTAACTAACGGTCTATCAAACTCCCCCACACTTAACCGTTTGCTTGTCCCCAAGCAAACCTAACTCAAACCAATGCAACTCTCCAGACCTCTATAGCAACAAACAACCTCGATCGTAGGTAGAGGACTTCCTAGATCATTTAGCAACTTACGAGGTCAACCGACGCACAAGTCATCTCATAACTTCTTCGGCGAGAGCACTAGTCTCGAGTCAGCATCATGGCAAATAGTGAACAGAGGACAAATGAATCGTGGATGAGGAGACTCTAAAAAACAAAAGATCATGAACTCACATTTTTCAAGGTGCTCGATTTTCTTCTTAAAGATGGTTGGAACCCCTTTTTTCCTTCTTTTTACTTGTTTTTCTGTTTTTCTTTTTTCTTTTCAAGGGTTCCAACCTGTTTTTGCAGAAAACAGGGGCTCCCACCTAGCAAAGGTTTTGCGGGAGCCCGGCTCTTACCGGCCATGCCAGGAGCAGTTGTCTCGAGCCTCGTGCGGGGGAAAGACATGTAAGGGGGCTGGAGGTAGTAGGTGGAAATTGGGAACGGATTCCCGTCTCCCCTTACACACTTTCGCCCTATTCGCACGGGAGACGTCATTTTAAAGCACATTTTTGAGCACCTGTTATTTTCAAAACATGATACAAGAGTCCATGACAGGCAGAGAGTCCACAGCACCACACAATTCAAGGGTCCTAAGATCACTAATTCACTCAATCAACCAACACACTATGAAGAAGAAATGAGACTTCTTAAATGCATCAACATCCTCCATAGTGCTACACTACCTCCCTAGGTTGCAAATCACTACAGAGACTGTCAATTCAAAGCATACTGAGCAGGTAATTGCAAGGAACACGTACTTGGAGCCCTCAAATTTAAAATTTGGACAGTGGACTAGGCTCCAAGCACACACAAACAGATCTGATGCAGTCAAAAGATAAACATCCCCCCCACACTTAAGATCGACATTGCCCTCAATGGAGAAGAGGGAAGGAAAGGGGAACGATGTTACCGGTATGCACGGACTGCAGAGGACTGGAAATGGACCAGTCGGGAACACAGCACAGCTCAAGGGGAACAGAAGAGCTCAACCAGAATATGTTAGGTCCGATGTCAGCCCAATAAGACATCATCCAGAACAAAGGAAACAAACCAAAACCAAACCCAATCGCAATCCGACTCGAAACATAAGAAAGAAAGTCAAACCGTGGTGGGGTTGCCTCCCCACAAGCGCTTCTTTACCGTCTTTTAGCTGGATGCCCATGGTGGATACTCAGGGAGGTGCATGAACAGGTGCCTCCAAGAGCGGATCCACATCGCTCTTGAGGTACAGCTTCAGGTGGTGACCGTGCACCCGACGGTTGCAACCACCAGCATCGGTCAGCTCGACCTGGCCATCCGGCAATATGCAGGCGAGTGAGTACTCGGATGGCCAGGGTGGTCGTGGTGCTGGGGGTGGGACCAGCTCATAGTGGTCTCCACTCTTCTTCCGTGCAGGCTTAGCCACCTGCGGCTTCGGTCGCCACTCCTCCTTGAGCTTTTTGTTCGAAGGCGAGGCTGGATGGAGTGGCGGCGGAGGAATGATAGGCGGGTCCTGCAAAATGAGAGGTGCAGAAGGATACACGACAGGCTCGTGTATCTGGTCAGAAATAGCATGCACAGGCGATACAGAAATCATAGCACAATGATCAAACTCAGTCACAGGAAAAACAGCCTGTTCATTTCCAGCACGCAAGATCAGTTTACCATCA